ATGGGGCTGTTCTGGGGCTGTGGCGGCGATGGTGATGACATCGTGATGGGGTGAAATTGATTTGGACAAGGTAATTGGGGTATCTTGGTAATAAAATCTGGAGACGTTAGGGTGAGAGGCATCAGCTTATATACAAGATAAGATCACAAGGTGAACTCATATTTTGGAATAAGTGCTACCTCTTGGAGAGCTCTTTCGTACAGAGCTTTGGAAGTGTCAAGCTCCCGCATTGTTGCATTATATGTTGTTGTTACTATAAATGTTCAATACTGGGTAATAATGGCCTCTAGGGGTCAACACTTGTGCTTGTTGCTTTAGAGGTTCCAAGCACGGTTGTATTCTGCTGTATTAAAGGTGTAATTTTTGAAGTGAATAAACCTTTGTGTTCAGTCTCATAGCGTTGCGAAAAACACTTTCATCCCACCAGAGACACGCAATCCCCTTCAAAAGCTTTTGGGGGAGGTGTGGAAGGTCGATACAGTGCTGCTCAGAGATGCAACAGCTCACCCTTGCTCCAAGTGGGCCAGCATTTTTCACTGAGGGCTGCGTCAAAGACATACGGTAAGTTTTTGACGTAGCCCTCAGTGAAAAAGTTAGGTTGGAAGTTGCGTCTTTGTACGGAATGAAAAAAAAAGTATAAACTTCGGTAGGTTTTTTAATTGGGTGTTTTGTTGCACTGCACCATTACATCCATACATCGTCAGTCGCAACTTCGGTAAGCAATGCTTTGTTAAGGCCCGGAAACCATCCACAATCTCTTCTAAGATCGCCTTCCTGCGAACTTGGGACAGGACAGCCCCCAAAGTCCAAATATCTGGGTCCAGCGTGGCGGCTTTCACGTTGCTTTCACGTTCGCACCCACTCTCCAGTGTGCGATAAAAACTTCCTGCACGACTCCATCTACGATCTGTGATCGCTTCTCAGCTCTCATTGGTCAGGCTTAACCGTCCGATCATGTGGGGTTTTCGCACGCTGGGGACCTCTGAACAATTGCGACGTCCAGATTTGTTCTCCCTCCACCTCATCACCTGCCCAATCTCTTGCACGTGTTAAGTGCACTTTTTTGCTGTCCCAAGTTCGAAGTTGGGACAGCCCAGGAAGGTCATCTAAGCAGGGAAGCAGAACACGAAAAACGCTTCCACCTTGGCGAAAGCACTTGCGTGCACATCCGTTGACGAAAAACAGTGACACGGCGTCAACGCTGATGGAATCGTCGCAACCAACCACACGTCCATTGGCAAGCATGAACGACTTTCTGTCAACGACACTCAAGGGCTTTCTCCGCCGCCAAAGCTGCCCCGCACATTAATTTTCAGTTACACCTAGTCCGCGGTATTTTAACCAGGTGAACTTTGTTCTTTCAAACCCCCTTTGTTCGTTTCTGGGTAATGTTGATAGCACCCAGAGTCATCGAGGCTACGATTCTGCAGCCGAAAGCACTTCCGTCTAAGGAACTCACACTTAGTGCTCCAAGATAGACGGATTTAAATTTGTCACACTCGGCATTCACTGAGTTTTTTCTGCTGTCATCTCGCGAAGGGAATGCTGGATTCTACCCTCGTAAAGTTCAAAACAACCCAACTAAATAAGTTTGATAAAGGAGAAGTACCCTCGCGTGGTTAAGATAGCGCCGGTTAAAATCCCGCGGACTAGGTGTATTCCATACCCGACATTTGATTGTTCACCAAATTAGCAACCAAACTGCGTGTTGCCCCACTCTCCAACCTGTCACCTCGATTTCATCAGCTCAGCACTTTCCCACACCACCACAGGCTTTTTGTGGCTTGATGGGTTAGGTAATCTTCCAGACCAATCATAGTGGTCCCAAACCAAGTCGCCCAACAAAGCTCTTATTCCTTGTCTCGGCTGGCGTAGACCACGAAATTGCTGCAGTGTCAGTTGAAGATTGGTTGGACCAGGCTGTTTTCTGGCATGTCTATTACCCAGAGAACCTGAATGATGTGGGCAACAAGAAGCAGAATCCTTCTAGACAGGGACACTGATGTCACATTCAACATCCAGCTCAACCAGGAATTCCAAAAATGTGGACCTAAGTTCTCATCTGTTCCCTCATTATACAGCAAAACCAGTACACTCGCTTAAGAAAGTCTCCCTGCGTGTATGACACATGCTCACCACTTCCTGCCTCACATTTGTGCACTCCACTGTAAGCGTCATTCAAAGCCTCCTAAGAATAACCCCGAGCCTGGAATTTGTTGTAGGGAAGTACTCTCATCAGAATTCCTGTGGTGCGAAGGTCCCAAAAAAGCAGGACTTTTTCAAGGGGAAGCCCAACATTGGGGTTGGTGCTCGTCAAATGCATCTCTGCTGCTGCTCTGGATCGCAATTCTGCTGAACCTGTTTCCTCACTGCTAAGGGCGTGCAACATTTGGAAAAATTTCCAGACGAACCGTACCTTCTGAACGGTTGAAAATGGTCCATTTGCCAATACGTTTCAAAGCCCAAATGTTTCACGCCCTAAACTTGCTTTGCCATCGTTGCCTCTTTTTACGAGGCATGTACGGTTGTCTGATAAGTACCAACTTCAACCCGTGACGGAGTGTCAGGCTGGCAAAAAGTATGTCTGGTCTGGAAGCTTATTGCAGCGTGCCTGACGGTCTTTGAGCCATACTTCTTCAATCTTATGTGGGAATCAGAAGCTTTGAATGGCTTCCTTCCTACGATTACACGAGTCGTCGTAGCACTGAAGCCGTGCTACTCTCATCGCCACGATTTGGAGCGCACAGTGCCATTACGTCATCCTTATGCGCGTTTCAGTGCGGTCCGTGCATGTCCGAATGAACAACCATGAATCCGTGTCGCTCCTTCGTTCCACTGAAGCGTGTTGCGACCCTTAGATGCTCTCCGTTGTTGCGGGAAACAGCACGCACAATCTAGCTGTTTGCACCATGTAGCCTGAACTTCAGTATTTATTATACAGCCATAAATCTGCAAAGTTCTTACCAAGTGAAAGCCTTTGCGTGGGACCAGTAGAGCCCACTCGAGCTCCCAAGACGGCCCTTAGAACGCTAGCAGCAGACGAAGAAACGGCTTTCGGCGCGCCAGGGATCAGCAGTCGAAGAAACTGGTTTCGAGGCAGGTAGAGAACGTAACAATAGTCGACGAACAGAATAAACTGGAGCGCGATGGGAAGCACGCCGCAAGTAAGCTTCACGGATCTCCGCCTCTTTCCATGTTCACTTCTGATTGCGTGCCATACCGAGTCTCTTGGCAATTTTTTGTGCTAGCTGCAAATCTACGTTTCATTTGTGTGCCTCTCTGTACCTTACGTGCTTTTCTATTGATTTACTTCAAATCTCTATTTCACATTCTGTCGTTTATTCTACTCTTCAGGACGTGCTTCAGCTGCAGCAGCTGCTGCAAGAGCTTCAACGACAGCAGGGAAACCAACAGAACCAAAACCAGCAGAACCAGCAGCGCCGGCAGCCGGAGCAGCCGTTGCTACAGCAGCAACGGCAGTCACCACAACAGCAGCAGCAGCCGCAGCACCAGCCGCAGCAGCAGCGCTCGTCTCCCCAGGACCAGCAAATACAATCCGTGTTACACGAGCTCACCTCGCTTCTCGGCGGTGCTGGCGCCTCCAATGCCGCCATTGGCGGTGTAACTTCCCCCCGTTCCCCCATCTCCTCCATGAACCTCCAGGTGCATCTGCGCGCCGCGGATGCTTCCGCGCGCACGCCAACCTCCCCCATGTCCCCCTTCTCCATGGGCGGAAACGCTTCCCCCGGTTTAGACCAGCTCATCGCCAGCGTCGCGCGGGGGGGGCAGCAGGGGCAGCAGGCGCAATCACTGGCCAGCCTCGCTGCCGCGCTCGGCGGGCTTGGCGGGGGGGGACGCGGAAGCGGAAGCGGAAGGGCTGGCGGAACCGGCGGGTTAGGCGCAGCGGGGGGAAGGGGCGGCGGGGGGATGAACGCGGCGGCGATTGCCGCGGCGTTGGGGGCATTGGCTGCGCCGGGGACCCCCGGGACTCCGAGCACCCCGCCATCCCCGTCAGTGCAAGATATTGTAGCGAGGCTTCAGCTCTTAGCGGAACTTCAGGCGGTCACCGGCGTGGCGCGATCGCCGTCGACCCCGCCAAACCCGCTTCTGCAACAGCAGCAGCAGCAACAGCGGCAGCAGCAGCAGCAGCAGCAGCAGCGGCAGCAGCAGCAAATGGGGCAGCGGTTGCCTCCGCAGCAGCGGCAGCGAATGCAAATGGACGAGCAGCAGCAGCAGCAGCAGCTGTTGGATCAGCTCGTAACGGCCCTCACAGGCGGAGGGGGAGGCGGAGGAGGAGGGGCGGGACGTGGTGGTGGGGGAGGAGGGGGTGGAGGAGGGGCTGGGGCAGGAACAGGGGCAGGAGGAGGAGGGGGAGGGGGTGGAGGGGGGTTGGGAGTGGTTGGGGATTCGCCAAGACAGAATGCGCTGCTGAACCAGCTGCTCGGCGCGCTAGGCCAGGTACGTGCAGCGTTTGTACGAACGAGTCCTTTGGCGCAACGCATACGAGAGGGTTCTGTTCGCAACGTATCTGTCTGTAAAAGTGTGTTCCTTTTTGCACGCGTATATATGAGCTTTTGCGGCAGAGAAATTAGGTTTCACGTGTGGTGGCAAACGCAGGCAAGCTCGCCTTCTGCGTATGGCGTATTGCGTGCGTGTTTATTGCGTTCCTCGTTATTGCGTGCCTCTTTATTGCGTGCCTCTGATGCGTTTCAGGCCACTGCTCCGCGGGGAACGCCTCCGCAGCCCCGCCCGCGCCAGCAGCAGCAGCAGCAGCAGGCGCAGCAGCCGCTGCTGCAGCGCGCGCAGCAGTCCGCGCTTCAGCCTCCGCGGCCGGGGGGAGGCCCTTCCCCTTCCGCGGCGGCAGCTGCGGCGGCGGCGCTAGCAGCGGCGGCGGGAGGCGGGGACGGGGACAAGTATGGGGTGCTGGATATGCTGCTGTGTGAGGCCTTGGCCGCAAAGCTGCAGGGACAAAGGTGAGCTGACGAGGCGAGTCCTGGGTTATGGCGAGTCAACAAGGCGATACGGATTATGGGGACGGGGACAAGTACGGAGTGCAGGATATGCTGCTGTGCAAAGCACTGGCAGCTAAACTGCAGGGGCAAAGGTGAGTTGACGGGGCTAGTTTTGGGTTGTCAGAGCGGAGGAGTATGGGATGGGGGTAAGAAAACACATACGCTGTGTGGGGGAAAAGAGTCTTGGGAAGGGGACAAGCTAGGGGTGTTGGAGTAAGAATCGGAGCAAGAATCGGAGTAAGAGTCGGAGTAAGAATCGGAGTAAGAATCAGTGTAAGAATCAGTGTAAGAATCAGTGTAAGAATCAGTGTAAGAATCTGTGTAAGAAGTACTTACTGCAAGGAACAATTGATGAAGTTGCCAAGCGCGAACAATGCAGCCCATGCAAACGCTGGTTGATACTTGGATAGAAATACATGGGAGATACGTGACACGATTTTTGAGGAGCTAAAAGAAAAGTTTCATCCCTCCGCTCACAATGCCAGATCCTCCGCGTCCCCCCCCCCCCCCCCCCCCCCCCTGCCTTGTTGGTGCGCCAATCGTCTGTTGCCCAACCAATGTTGCCCCTCCAGCTCACACCAATCCTCGCTCTACCCCACTCCCTATCCCACTCCCTATCCCACTCCCTATCCCTCTCCCTACCCCACTCCCTACCTTACTCTTTATTTACTGCGTATCCAACCACATTTGCCCCCGCATCCTCCCATCCTTCCCCTCACCATTCCCCTTTCGGCCCCACTCCCCACACGTCCCCCTTCCCCCTTCCCCTTTCCCCCTTCCCCTTTCCCCCTTCCGCCCCAGCCCGTCCGCGCCAACCAACCCCTCCCCCCTGGAGCGCCGCCAGTCCTCCTCGCGGAACCCCAGCTGGAAGGCGGGCGCGGGCGGAAGCTCCAAGGGGGGCGCGGGCGGAGGAGGCGGAGAAGGCGCAGGGGGAGTCGGCGGGGGGAAGGGCGGAGCGGATGAGGGCATGGGGAGGGCGGATAGCGCACCTGAGGCATCCGCGTTTAGCGTCAGTCAGGATAGTAGCACAAGACCAACAGCAGAGGCAGCAGGCGGAGGGGGAGGTGGAGGCGCAGGGGGAGCTAGGGTTTCCGCCCAGGCCCCCGTTTCCCCAGGGCGGGGGGGGATTGACCTTCCGCGCTCCCCCACCTCCGCCGCCTCCCCTGGTGGCGGAAGCGACTCCCAGGGGGACCTTTTGAACCAGCTGCTGCAGCAGAAGCAGCAGCAGATGCGCCAGCAGGGGGGTGGCGGGGGAGGGGGAACGGGGGCGTTTGGGGGAAGCCAGCCGCGCCAGATGGGGGGGAAGCAGGCGCAGTCCAGCAGCAGTGGCGCGGGGATAGGCGCGGGGGGGAGCAGCAGCGGCGCTAAGGGCGGAAAGGGCGGAATGTCTGTAGAGGAAAAGGTACTGGCGGAGTTAGTAGCAGCAGCGGCTGCAGGGAAGGGGAAGATGGGGGAGGCGTGGGGGTCTATTCTCGCCCAGGCGCAAGCGGATCTGGGGAACATCGAGCTCTCTGATTCGCTGGGCGCGGAAGGGGGCGGGCGTGGGGGAGTGGGGGGCGGGGGGAACGGCGGGGGGGAGGATATGCAGGAGGGGAGCCGAGGAGGCGGGGGAGGGGAGATGGAGGTGGATGGTAAGGGGAGAGGGACAGGAGCGAGTGGTGGGGGAGCGTTAGAGGAGTCAGCTCAAAGCAGGCCGGGAACAGGGCAAAGCCGGGGAGGGGGAGCAGCAGCAGCAGCAGGAGGAGGAGCAGGAGGAGCAGCAGGGGGAGTAGGAGGCAGGCAGGCCACCAGCGAGAAAAATATATTTAATCTCCAAGCGAGTGCAGTGAATGATCTTTTAGAGGGGATAAACATAGCGGGATTCGGCCTGAATCTGGACACATTAGAGTTTGACACGTCAGAATCAGGCCAGTCCAGCTCAGTATGCATGAGCCCTGCCACAGCCGCAGAAGTCTCGGGCAGCAGAGCAAAACTTTCCTCCGCCATGAGCCCTGCGGGGGCAGCAGCGGCTGGCAGCAGCCAAAATATTTTCGCGGGGATGACCTCTAGGAGTCTCAACTCCCTTTCTCTGAAGAAAAACACCCCTGTGGGAGCCTCAGGCTCCCGTAGCGGCATAGACGCAAAAGGAGGGGGAGTGACCCTAGGGGGGGGTGTTCTAGGGGGTCCCCTGGCGGGTCGCGGTTCCAGCCTGAACGCTGCTCCCTCCCGAACGTCTCTACAGGACCCGAATGGGGTCCCCCTGGGGGCTGGGTCTAATGGGGAGCCCCTAGGAGCAGGAGGGTCGGCAGCAGGGGGAGCAGCAGGAGGAGGAGGAGGGGGAGGGGGAGGTGGGAGTGGGAAGGAGAAGGCACAGGGGCGGCCGGCGGGGTGGCACGTGGGGCTGGAGCTTCTGCCCCTAGACACGCCCATAGGGGATATGCCTTCCACCGAGGTGTTTGAAAACTCTGGGAAACGCAGCCGCGTTGCTCTCTCTCACATCCGCACCTCCAGCGGCAGCTCCTCCCTTCCCGAGTCCGAGCAGAAGCAGCTGTTAGAGTTTGCCAGAAGCAGTGGTGTGCTTGGGAACAGCCCGGGTGGTCCGGGCGGGGGTGGTGGGACTCCTGGCGGGGGTGCTGCTGGGCTGGCGGGCGGGTCGAATTGTTCGTCTGCCCGGACGCTCAGTCCTGCGCTGAGCACGGATTCTGGGCGGTCAGGTGGGGGGGAGAGCCCAGGCGGGTTTACGTCTTCAGGTGGTTCCCCAGGTGATGGGTTTGCGAATTCTGTTTTCGAAGGAGGGGGGTCTGGAGGGTCTGGGTCAGGGTCTAGTAAGCCGGGCAGGAGCCCGCAGCTTCCGGGAAATTCAGCAGGGCAGGGCGGGAGGGGGCGGAGTGGGGAACGTGGGGGCCGGGGGGCGGGGGCGGGGGGAGCAGGGGGAGTGGGGATGGGCAGTAGGGATGGCAGCAGGGAGAGGGTGAGAAGTGAAAGTCCCCTAAGGGGGGAGAGTCCCATCCGGGGGCGGAGTCCCCTCAGGGGGGAGAGCCCTTGCAGGAAACGAGCCTGGGGTAGTGATGTGGGGGAGGGGGAGAGTGACAGAGATGAGGTTATGGGGCAGGGGGATGAGGCGCAGGGAGGGGGGGAGGCAGGGGGAGGGCGGAGGGGGCCAGGGGGAGGGGTTGGGGGGAGTTCGGGGCAGGCCAGTGGGGCGAACAGCGGGGGAGGGGGGAGGGCGAGGAGAGGGGGAGGGGGGAAGAAAGGGGGGGCGGGGGCGGGTGGGGGGACGTCTTCAGCTGGTGCGGCTTTTGGGGGGGGAAGTGGGGGGGCCCAGGGGGAGGCGTCTGGGGGAGAGGCGAAGAAGCAGAGGCAGAAGCGCGGGACGGCCACGGATCCGCACTCAGTGGCAGCACGGGTGAGTGGGCTGATGGTTTTGAGACCCTGCCTTTCCTCAAAAGCTTAGTGCCTGCCAAGCCTGGACCTTTTATTAAGACCCTGCCTTTCCTTCCCACACTGGAATCCCCTCATACCCACTATCCCCTCATACCCACTTTCCCCTCATACCCACTTTCCCCTCAGACTCACTATCCCCTCAGACCCACTTTCCCCTCAGACCCACTTTCCCCTCAGACTCACTGTCTTTCTTCCTCTCTTTCCTTTGAGTTTCTAAGGGACCGTATCAGCGAGCACGGAGGGGACCTGCGACTTGGTGCCGAATGCATGGAGGCAAATTACACTCTCCTCTCCCTTCTCTCCTCGTCCCCGGTTCCCACCTTCAGTTGCGTCGAGACCGCATCAGCCAGTGCATGCGGGCGCTGTACGTCTTGGTGCCGAATGCAGGGGTATGGAATCCCTTCCTCACTCCCCTCCCTCCTCTCCCCTCACTCCTCCCCGTTTTCAGCTTCGCCGGGACCGCATCAGCCAGCGCATGCGGGCGCTGTATGACCTGGTGCCGAATGCACGCAACACAGACACGGCATCGATGCTGGATGAGGCCATTCAATACGTGCGCTCGCTGCAGGAGCAAGTGCAGGTGCGTGTGAAGGGGGGAGGGAGTGAGCGAGTGGAGGTGAGGAGCAGGAGGGGAGGTGGGGGTTGCGGGTGTGAGCATGAGTGCACGCAGCACAGATGAGCATGAATGCACGCAGCACAGATGAGCATGAATGCACGCAGCACAGATGAGCATGAATGCACGCAGCACAGATGAGCATGAATGCACGCAGCACAGATGAGCATGAATGCACGCAGCACAGATGAGCATGAATGCACGCAGCACAGATGAGCATGAGTGCACGCAGCACAGATGAGCATGAATGCACGCAGCACAGATGAGCATGAATGCACGCAGCACAGATGAGCATGAATGCACGCAGCACAGATGAGCATGAATGCACGCAGCACAGATGAGCATGAGTGCACGCAGCACAGATGAGCATGAATGCACGCAGCACAGATGAGCATGAATGCACGCAGCACAGATGAGCATGAATGCACGCAGCACAGATGAGCATGAATGCACGCAGCACAGATGAGCATGAATGCACGCAGCACAGATGAGCATGAATGCGCGCAGCACAGATGAGCATGAATGCACGCAGCACAGATGAGCATGAATGCACGCAGCACAGATGAGCATGAATGCACGCAGCACAGATGAGCATGAGTGCACGCAGCACAGATGAGCATGAATGCACGCAGCACAGATGAGCATGAATGCACGCAGCACAGATGAGCATGAATGCACGCAGCACAGATGAGCATGAATGCACGCAGCACAGATGAGCATGAATGCGCGCAGCACAGATGAGCATGAATGCACGCAGCACAGATGAGCATGAATGCACACAGCACAGATGAGCATGAATGCACGCAGCACAGATGAGCATGAATGCACGCAGCACAGATGAGCATGAATGCACGCAGCACAGATGAGCATGAATGCACGCAGCACAGATGAGCATGAATGCACGCAGCACAGATGAGCATGAATGCACGCAGCACAGATGAGCATGAATGCACGCAGCACAGATGAGCATGAATGCACGCAGCACAGATGAGCATGAATGCACGCAGCACAGATGAGCATGAATGCACGCAGCACAGATGAGCATGAATGCACGCAGCACAGATGAGCATGAATGCACGCAGCACAGATGAGCATGAATGCACGCAGCACAGATGAGCATGAGTGCACGCAGCACAGATGAGCATGAATGCACGCAGCACAGATGAGCATGAGTGCACGCAGCACAGATGAGCATGAATGCACGCAGCACAGATGAGCATGAATGCACGCAGCACAGATGAGCATGAGTGCACGCAGCACAGATGAGCATGAATGCACGCAGCACAGATGAGCATGAATGCACGCAGCACAGATGAGCATGAATGCACGCAGCACAGATGAGCATGAGTGCACGCAGCACAGATGAGCATGAATGCACGCAGCACAGATGAGCATGAATGCACGCAGCACAGATGAGCATGAGTGCACGCAGCACAGATGAGCATGAGTGCACGCAGCACAGATGAGCATGAGTGCACGCAGCACAGATGAGCATGAATGCACGCAGCACAGATGAGCATGAATGCACGCAGCACAGATGAGCATGAATGCACGCAGCACAGATGAGCATGAATGCACGCAGCACAGATGAGCATGAATGCACGCAGCACAGATGAGCATGAATGCACGCAGCACAGATGAGCATGAATGCACGCAGCACAGATGAGCATGAATGCGCGCAACACAGACACGGCATCTATGCTGGATGAGGCCATTCAATACGTGCGCTCGCTGCAGGAGCAAGTGCAGGTGTGTGCAAGAGCACGACCTTTGAGCAATCTCAATGCTATTCGGTCTTGCCTCTCCCTCAATGCTATTCGGTCTTGCCTCTCCCTCAATGCTATTCGGTCTTGCCTCTCCCTCAATGCTATTCGGTCTTGCCTCTCCCTCAATGCTATTCGGTCTTGCCTCTCCCTCAATGCTATTCGGTCTTGCCTCTCCCTCAATGCTATTCGGTCTTGCCTCTCCCTCAGCCACCTTGTTCAATTGAGCAACCTCGATGCTGTCCGTTTGCGTCCTTGCAACTCTGAGATGTCTCAAATCAGTTGATCAGTTGCTCTTGCTTCATCCGCATTTGCCCTTTCAACTCTCCCCTTGCTCGCTTGCATGGAACCAGACTCTGAAGAAGGAGAAGGGCGAGAGCCAGGGGACCTCGTCGGTCGGCACGGGCAGCCTGGGCCTGCCGGCAGACAGCAGCAATGAGGGCGGCGAGGGCGGCACGAGCAGGAGCGCAGGGCAACAGAGCATGGCACAGAGTATGGGACAGAACCTCGCCCAGGCTGGGTATGGAGGTACGGAGGACGGGTTTGGCTCGGAGAATGAGGTATGGGACGGGAGTGCGGCGCCTTCCCCCATGGGCAGCGGAATGGGCAGCGGAATGGGCAGCCGAAAGGGTTCCATGCAGCTTCTGGCTGAACGGCAAGGGAGTGGGGAGTTTGGGGGGGTGGGGCGGGTTGGAGATGGGAAGGTGGAGGGAGGGTTGAGAGGGGTTGGGTTGGGTGTGGAAGGGTACATGAAGGCTGAGCCAGAAAATGATGATTTTGCTGAAGTTCAGGAGCTGGAGCAGCAGCAGCAGCAGCAGCAGCAGCAGCAGCAGCATTATAGTCACAACCATCACAGTCACCATGCACATGCGCTAGCCCCCTCAGGCTCAGATGTGGGTGTAACGGGTGCTGCTGCTGGCCTCTCACCACTAGTAGCGACAGCAGCAGTGGCTCCTGCTCATGGGAGTGCTTTGGCAGGGGCCACTGGGGTGCTTGCAGCTGGTGGTTTGGTGGATGGGGCAAAGGGCAGTAACCACGGTGCGCTTGTAACGGAAGCTGGTGGTGTTGCTGGTTTGGAGACTATGATAGTGGGTGGTGCGGAGGTGGAATGGCCGAGTGAGATTGAGTTGACTTTGGAAGATATGAACATGGTGGACCTTGGTGGGTGGGACTTTGACTCCTGAAGAATGGTAAGTCAACTCATATTTATTTAATACTGTTTCATCCTTGTGTGCAGTCAATGTGTGCAGCCTTGTAGTGTAGTGTTAGAGGCTCACTTGTAATTAGTGTGACTGGCTACCAAAGCCGTTCCTATCTATTATTGGGAGCTCCTACGGATTGGTGAGTAAGTGCGGGACAGCAATTTTATTGTGAATGTAGGACATAGTGGCTATGTATCAAGGATCAATTCTGAGCGCTATATTGTAAGGAAAATCCTTTTCCTTACTGAGCTCAGCCACAGCGCGTACGCCCTCGGACTTCGGAAAGCTAGGCTCGGCCTAACTTTTCGGTCCCGAACCACTCTAGCGCAACCAAACCTAAATGCGGGGCTGTTCCGTGGCTTTCGTCACCCGAGTCGCCCCAACCTAGTTGCGAGGTTCTCGGCTAGCGTAGTTGTGCCTATAAAGTGCTGTAGCCTTTCATTTGTATTCACACTCTTGAGTCACGCCCTGTTATCGAATTCCGCGCTACTACTCTGATTCGATTCATAACAGCTGGTATCAGAGCTACTTTCCTGCCCGCCTAGTCTTCCGTAGGCGAGTCCGTTTATATCGGGCGAGGACCTGACAGAATAGAAGGTTGGCCTGCGGTCGGTAGGTGAGCTTAATTAAAGCTCCTACGACTAGAAGCGTGTGCACCTTCAGATCTGTTAGGTAAAACAATCCCAGCATGACGAGTGAGCTGGAATCCTCCGCCCGCCGTAGTGTTAGGAACGTGACACAGGAGGAGTTTGACGAGTTGCAGACGAGGGCGGCCACGGTGACGACGCTACAGTCGCAACTCCAACAACTCATGGCGAAGTTCGAATCGCTCGATGGCGAACTTCAGACGCTGCGCGAGGAAAACTCGTCACTTCGCCAGGCGCGTGGAGAAACGCGTCAGAGGCGGCCTGTTACCCGAGACGAGGATGCTGCGAGCGAAGCGAGAACGTCGGCGACACCTGAAGCAACAGAAGAAATCAACAGCGGACAACGAGCAGTTATTAAAGTTAAACCTGCCACGCCCCCGCCGTTCAATCCGACCGATAAAACCACAACAGTGAGCGGGTGGTTGTTTGCTGTTGAAATCTTCTTTAATGCAGCTAATATTTACGACAATGCAACACGTGTGAATTTCGTTGTATCACTGCTGAGAGGACCGGCACTCGACTGGTGGCGCATGCAACTCGCAGAGGGAGGGGCCTCGGCAGGACATCAACGGGCGGTAGTGTCAGAACATTATAGCTTACTTATTTGTGTAGGCTATAGTGGGGTATCCCATAGGGGGTACAACCCAATTAGGGTTTCCTATTTGTACTCACTTCGTTCATAGTCATTCATCCTCGTTCGCTTCTTCTCATGGAATCAGAGCAGGTTCCCCTGTGGGAACTATGCTTAGGGCCCACCACTTCAATTTTTTTCTGCCCTAGCGCCTTGCGCCCTAGCGCCTACCCTAGCGCCCGCCCTAGCGCCCTAGCGCCCGCCCTAGCGGCCGCCTTAGCGCCCGCCCTAGCGCCTGCCCTAGCGCCCTAGCGCCCGGCGCCCGCCCTAGCGCCCATTCGCCGCCCGCGGCCTGTCCGTGCGCTGCCGCGCGTGCGCCGCCGCCCGTGAGCGCCGCCCGTGAGCACCGCCCGTGAGCGCCGCCCGTCAGCGCAGCCGCCCGTCAACCGCCGCTGGTGCGCCGCCGCCCGTGACGCCGCCGCCCGTGAACCGCCGCCCGTGAGCCGCCGCCCGTGGCCGCTCGCCCGTGAGCCGCCCGCCCGTGAGCCGCCCGCCCGTGAACCGCCCACGACGCCGACGCCGCCGGCACCGCCGACGCCACCGACGTCACCCGTGAGCCGCCGACGCCGCCGACGCCGCCCGTGAGCCGCTGACGCCGCCGACGCCGCCCGTGAGCAGCCGACGCCGCCCTCGAGCCGCCCGTGCAGCCGCCCCAGCCGCCCGTAAGCCGCCCGTGCGCCGCTCGCGAGCCGCCCCAGCCGCCCGTGAGCCACCCGCGAGCCGCCCCAGCCGCCCGTGCTGTCGCCCGCAAGACGCCCGCGCCGCCCGAGCCGCCCGAGCCGCCCGAGCCGCCCGAGCCGCCCGAGCCGCCCGAGCCGCCCGAGTCGCCCGAGCCGCCCGAGCCGCCCGAGCAGCCTGAGGCGTCGGCCTCCTGTTCCTGTGGGGGCTGCTGCTGCTCCTGGGCCGCCGTAGCTGCTGTGCTGCTGTGTGGCTGTACTCCTGAGCTACCCGACTCTTCCCGCCCGGTGAGACTGTCAGCTGCTATAATGGCCACCTCCAGTGTCCTGTCTTTTGACGCTGAGGGTCGCGCCGTTGACTTTGCAGTCTGGGTCGAGGACCTGCAGCTGTACTTACTGTGCGATGCGATCGATGAGGTTTCTCTCTTTGACTTTGTCTCTGGCGCTGTCCCTGCCCCTCCTGCTGATGCTGACCCCTCTGTTCGCTCCAAGTGGGCCACGCGCGATGCTGCTGCACGTCTTGCTGTGCGTCGCCACCTCCCTTCCTCCGAGCGTGCACACTTAAGTCAGTGCAAGACCGCTCAGGCCTTGTACGACGCTGTAGTTCCGCGCTACTCCTCCCCTTCCTCCGCTACGCTGAGCCGCCTCACGCTACCGTTCCTCTTCCCTGACCTCGCTGCCTTTCCCACAGTCGCTGACCTCTTTACCCACCTCCGCGCTAGTGACACTCGCTACCGCGCTGCGCTTCCTGCTGAGTTCCGCGCCGCAAACCCTCCTCCCATGTACATCACTCTCTACTTTCTAGTCACCCGTCTCCCTGAGTCCCTTCGTGCCGTTAGGGACCAGTTTCTCTCTGTCTGTCCCACCACCCTCACTGTCGACCTCCTTGAGAAGTCCCTGCTAGCGGCTGAGAAGAGTATCGTCGCTGTAGGGGCCTCTCGTGGTGACCCTCGCACCCCCATCTTTGAGGGGTGTTCTCCTTCCCCCCTACTTCCCTCTGTCGCCTCTGCTGCTGCGGGCGACCTCGTTGGTTTGGAGTCGGTCGGTGCAGCGTCTGCCCCCAGCGGTAGGCGCCGCCCTGGCAGGGGCAAAGGGGGCAAGGGAGCAGGTGGAGCTAGCGGGGGCGGTGGCGGAGGTGGTGGAGGCGGCGGGGGGAGTGGGGGTGGCAGTGGAGGTGGTGGCGGGAGTGGAGGTACTAGTGGCGGCGGTGGAGGCGGAGGTGGTGGTGGAGGTGGCGGTGGGAGCGGCGGGGGCGAGGGTGGCGGTGGCGGCGGTGGCGGCGGAGGCGGAGGTGGCGGTGGTGGAGGTGGTCGGAGTGGCTCGTCCCAGCGGAGCACCACTGGAGGTAGTCAGCGCCAGCAGCAGCAGCAGCAGTAGCAGCGCTCTCGCGACGTCCCCACCCCTCAGCAGCTCCGTGAGTGGTACTCCCAGCGTCAGCGTGGTGGGGCGTTCGGTCCCTGCACCTACGTCCTTCGCACCGGCGACCGTGCGGGTGAGCAGTGTGGGGGCACCCACACCGCCCGCCGCTGCTTTGCCAGCTTGACCGACGCTTGGCGCCAGCAGTTTCCGGAGGCCTCTGAGATCCCCCGCTGGGGAGAGCTGTCTATGGCTGGTGTAGCTATCTTTGATCTTGACTTTGATGCTATTCTTGCTGCCATGTATGCTGTGTCTGCTAGTGATGAGGGTGACTGTTACCGGTGTTTCCTGCCCGATCCGGGCATTGAGTCTGCTGCTCTAGGTACTGGTGCGGCTGCTGCCCTAGGTGCTTGCGACGCTGCTGCTCTTGGTGCTAGTGTGTCTGCGTCCTCAGGTACTGGTGAGTCTGCGCTCTCAGGTACTACGTCGGCTTCGGCCTCCCTCACCTTCACCCTTGACTCTGGGGCTTCTCGCTCATTCTTTCGAGACCGCACCACTCTCACGCCGCTTAGTCGGCCTGTTGCGGTGTCCCTGGCTGACCCCTCTGGGGGTCCTGTCCTGTCTCGTTTCTCCACAGTCCTCCCGTGTCCGGCGGCTCCCTCTGGCACCCTGACTGGTCTCTACCTCCCCTCGTTCTCTACGAACCTGGTGAGTGGTGCTGACCTATAGGATGGGGGTGTCCACCAATTCACTCCTGCTCGTCAGCGGGTGACACACTGCACAGAGGCTAGCACAGGTCGCCACCTAGCTACGTTTACACGTCAGCCACGGTCGAGCCTGTACACACTGACCACTGCTTCTCCTCCCGGTGCTGAGTCTGGTAGAGTCCCTTCGTCTGGTCAGGCGTTTGCTGCAGCGTCCAGGTCTGGTCCTAAGTCTGCCCCCTGTTCGTGTCGCCGTCTGTCTCACGAGACTCTCCTCTGGCACCACCGCCTTGGCCACCCCTCTTTGCTTCGGCTGAGAGTCATGGCCTCCCGTCTCCTTGTGTCTGGTCTCCCCCGGTCCCTCCCTCCCCTTCCTCAGGGCCCTGGCCCTGCCTGTGTCCCCTGCGTCGAGGGGCGCCAGCGTGCTCCCCCTCACTCCTCCCAGTTTCGTCCGACAGAGGCTCCGTTGCAGACGCTTCACATGGACGTGTGGGGCCCTGCCCGCGTCCGTGGACTCGGTCACGAGTGCTACTTCCTGCTGGTGGTTGACGACTACTCGCGTTACACCACAGTCTTCCCCTTGCGCAGTAAGGGTGGTGTCACTGCGGTGCTGATCGACTGGATCCGCGCAGCTCGTCTCCAGCTCAGGCAGAGCTTTGGCTCGGACTTTCCTGTGTTGCGTCTGCACTCGGACAGAGGCGGAGAGTTCTCCTCTGGCCTTCTGCGTGCCTTCTGTCGTGCGCGAGGCATCCGCCAGACCTTCACGCTTCCGGACTCACCGCAGCAAAATGGGATTGCAGAGCGCCGCATTGGCATGGTCATGGACGTCGCTCGTACGTCTATGATGCATGCGGCTGCCCCCCAATTTTCTGTGGCCGTTTGCGGTCAGGTACGCGGCGCATCAGATCAACCTCCACCCCAGGGTCTCCAGGCCGGAGACCTCCCCAGCCCTTCTGTGGACGGGGAA